CTAAAGAGATGGGTTTTAATAATGGCCAAATTGATTGTAAATACATGAATACAATCCTCTCGAAAGTAAAAAAAAAAAAAAAAAAAAAAGTCAAAATATACAGAAAATCGACATTCGCAGAGTGCTGGTTCTAGAGAAATTACTTTCCGTGCCCCGGTTTCGTCTTTCCACATCAGGGTCCCAAAAGACCCCAGTCGCCCCCTGACATCTAATACTCACTGGCGATAATGGGTTTGGATGTTTGCACCGCCAGGCCTGAGCAGATCGTGCTCATTAATAAATAAATTAATTAGCTTTATCCAGAAAATCGACATTCGCAGAGTGCTGGTTCTAGAGAAATTACTTTCCGTGCCCCGGTTTCGTCTTTCCACATCAGGGTCCCAAAAGACCCCAGTCGCCCCCTGACATCTAATACTCACTGGCGATAATGGGTTTGGATGTTTGCACCGCCAGGCCTGAGCAGATCGTGCTCATTAATAAATAAATTAATTAGCTTTATCTTCAAGAAAAACTAAACACCCAAGACTTTAACGACTCACTTTTTTTTTTTTTTTTTTTTTTTTTTTTGGGGGGGTGGGGGTGGCGGGGGGTAATTACTATCATAAAAGCTTCGCTCCAAAGAAGTTTAGAATTTCTCTGTTCCTCTGTGCAGTGGAGTGTAGCCCAGAAGCGGAATAATTGTCTCATTATCATGATAATCTAATTTGCTCCCACAGAAAAGGCCGCGCGTTAGACAAGAACATACTTTTAATATTGGAAATGGGAATTGTTGAAATAAATTTCCAGATTGAAGTTCTGCTCGCTTAGAGGAGAGAGGGGAGGGAGAGAAGGAGGGAGAGCGCATCTTAAAACGTTCCTGCTTAAAGACAGACCTCTGCACCGCATCTCAGAAGCCACAGCCACCAAGCCAACCTTTCCCCACGGCCAAGAGAAAAAATAAAATTAAAAAAAAAAAATCTTTTTTTAAAGTCTTACTTGAAGAGACAAATATAAACGCGAATTTCCCCCGCCCTGTCATTTACTTCAGCCGAGGCAAATCTGCCCAACAGCCATGTTCGCCCTCAGCCTCCCGTGGCAACGCGCATTCCGTAATTTACAAATTAGTGCAGATGTGAGGCAAAAAATAATAATAATAAAAAAATATTGCAAAGCGTTTTCCGGAACGATTTAAAGGGAATGGGTTTAATCTATGTAAATCTCCAAAAGTTATTATGCACCCTGCGATTTGGTATAATGGGAGCGCGGATTATGCGCCGCCGCCGCCGCCGCGTTCTTTGTCGAGCAAACAGCCAGCAGAAGGAAGCACCTCCCTTCTGCATTGCTCGTCGCCAAGTTGAAGCCCAGCAACTTTTTAGTTTGGTTTTGGTAAGGTTTGACGAGAGAGCGAGAAAAATGAGGACTTTTGGGTTTTTTTTGTTGTTTTGGGTTTTTTTTTTGGGGGGGGGGAAGGGGGGGCGCACAGGCTGTGCTGACAAAAGCTGCTCACGATTACTTTTTCGGCTCAACGTGAGCGCTCTGTTTCTGTCCTTACCCTCTCACAAAGATGCAGGGAAACCCCCCAAGGATTGTGCGCATAGTTGGGTGCAGATGGTGGCCTACGAGCACAAAGATTGAGGGGGAGTATCTGTTACAGCAATACTTTCTAGCAGCTGCAGATGTTAGGGGCCTAAAACTACTCCATGTGTTCAAACAAATAATGACCATCATTTTCTCTTCTTTTATTATTCGAACGGAAATACACCGGAGCAGCTACATTTGTTCTCATTTGAGGAGTTCCCTTCCTCACTCTTCATCTCGTCCCGGCAAAACTCGCAGAAACCAGCCCAGGAACCGATTTGGAAAAACTTTGGGAGGGCAGCCCGAGGTTAAACGCGCAGGTTAAATCAAAGGAAGCTGTGGCTTCTCGGTACGGGAGACCGCTTAAAATAGCCTGGGTTTATCCCAGACTTTTGTACTTCATAAATCCGAACAAAGCCGGTCTGTGCACTTCACTCCAATTTTCGTGCCGCTTCCCTGAAAATTTAAGAACTACGACGAGAAACGGACTGTAAATTTTTATTTTTATTTTTTTTTCTCGCACTTAGCAGTTCCTAATTTAGTTTATGGTCACTACATCTATAAAGTTAATTGGTGCGTCCGCCCGGGAAAGCCCTGCGCCGGGAGCAGCCCGCAGAGGGACCGCAGCCACCGCCAACAAAATAGCCATTGTAGCTCTTGCCGAGGCAGAGATGAAATAAACGCAGAGATTAAATAAACCCCGCCAGAGCGAGGGGCAAGGGACTTCCCAGGAGTCAAACCACAAGAAAACCCGGCAGAGGGGATTTTTACAGATTTGCTGGGCGCAATTCG